GGGGGGCTTTGCTGTTTGGTGACGGTTTTATTGTGAAGTTGCGGCCGGTGGGAGCCCCGTGTGTGTGTTGGACTCATGCTCCCCCCCCACCCCCCGGCTCCCTCCCAAATTGTCTGGGACGTGGGAATTCCAGCAGCTGGGAGGGGGATGTACTCCCATGGCAGTTGTGTTAGAGGCATGCGTGGGACCCGGCTTCATTGCGCCTGGCGCTGCACCGGCAAAGTCACTCTCTATACAGCCAAAGAGCAGGAAGGGAAACAGGCCCAGAGAGGGGAAGAGACGGGATTACGTCCCAGGAGTCCTGCCGCCCAGCCTTGGGTTGTAACCACTGGACAGCACAATCGTGCGCGCGTGTGCGCACACACACACACACTCATGTGAGCAGAATGCTTACTATCTATCTATCTATCTATCTATCTATCTATCTATCTATCTATCTCCACCCTCCTCCGCTATCTATCCATCTATCTATCCCCACATCCGCTGTCTATCTATCTATCTCACATCCCCAGCCTTAGATCACACACCCGGATGAGACACTCGGAGCTGCTGGCAGACACACGACACAGTCGCACGCAGGCAGCTGTCCACGCGCCCCTCTGGAGACAGACACACACACGCCTCATCCTACGCACCCCCTAAGAGGCTGGCCTGTGGAATCGCACATGCGTGTCACCATCTGCATCACCCCCCGCCACCGGGCTCGGGTCCCCTTGCCCATCGTTCTGCCCCCCGCTACACACACAAGTGCTGCCGGGGTGGGGTTGTGTGTGCAAGTTGAGGGGGGTGTCACTCTGACACCCCCTTCTGGTTGCCATGCCAACCCTGGTGGGGAGCGGGCAGAGACACCAGCCAGCAGGGCTGTTGGAGAGATCCCCATGGCTGGCAGTATCGGGCGTCTGTGCAGCATCTGGCATGTCAGACCTGTGCCAGGTGCCTCCATCCCCCCGCTGCCGGGGTGGGGTTGTGTGTGCAAGTTGAGGGGGGTGTCACTCTGACACCCCCTTCTGGTTGCCATGCCAACCCTGGTGGGGAGCGGGCAGAGACACCAGCCAGCAGGGCTGTTGGAGAGATCCCCATGGCTGGCAGTATCGGGCGTCTGTGCAGCATCTGGCATGTCAGACCTGTGCCAGGTGCCTCCATCCCCCCCCCCCCC